CCAAGCAGTTGGTCTGGTATGGACATGTGCGAAGGATGGCAGATGATCGGTTGCCCAAGCAGGTCTTCGATTGGGTTCCTCCCGGAAGGCGACGGCGTGGACGTCCTGTGAAAGGTTGGCGACAAGGGGTGGAGGAGGAGATCAGAAGGTGCCAATTGCCTGATGATCTCTGGGAGGATAGGGGGCAATGGCGATTGGGCGTCGCAGAGCGCGAGGCGGCGCTATAATCGCGACTTTATGTATGTATGTGTATGTACCTTGTGAACCTAACTTTGTTCAATGATATTTTTCTGCGGGAGATGAATACTAATGAAATAATGAAATGAAAATGAAATTAATGAAAATAATGAACGAAGCAATAACTTGAGAAAAATAGACCAATGGGGAGGAAGGCCGGTGACGTCATTCCCCGATAAATCTCAAAATAAGAAGCGGAAGTCATCCTCAGGATATAGACCTGGACTGCATTTTGCAATTTGGAACTCTAAATTCTGGCCCGGTTTAATTCAAAGTATGTGCCATTAGTTTCTCCAAGCACATAAGTGTTTTTCCAGAAGAGCCAGAATTTATAGTTCCAAAATGCAAAATGCAGTCCAATGGAGATGTTGCATGTGTGAGAAATTTGCGATTTGACTGTTGATTCTTATGTAAAAGTTCGCGAGATACACGATGGTGCCACTGGTTTTCTCTGAAATCAACTTCCAAGCTCAAAAAAAGCTCTCAAGTTGAGGCCAAAATGGAGGGGATATCCCAAGAGTCCACGTCTACATCAAGACAAACTCTCCATCCAATGATAGGGAGTAAATACATTGACAGGGCTGCCACTTTATTCGGGGACTCGAAAACTGAAAACACGGCATCACTGCTAACGTATTTGCTCCCTATCTTTGCATGGAGAGTGTGTCTTGATGTAGAGGTGGACTCTCAGGATAGCGTGGGATATCCCCTCCATATTGGCCTCAACTTGAGAGCTTTTTTTGAGCTTGGGAGTTGATTTCAGAGAAAACCAGTGGCACCATCGTGTTTCTCGCAAACTTTCGCATAAAAATCAACAGTCAAATCGCAAATTCCCCACACCTGCGACATCTCCATTATCCAGTCGTGTTTACGGCGGTTTTCTTAAGCACCGCAACAGTGGCGAAGCGTGAATACTTCCCCAGCTTTTGAACTTTTAATACCCATGCTTTTGAGCTTTTGATACTTTCCCATTTAAAGCCAGGATGAGGAATCGATTGTACCCTAATAATCGGTCCATTTTCACAGGTTTAAATTGATTCATCGCAAACTACGAAACGCCACCGACCAACTGGACTACATTTTGCAATTTGGAGCTATAAATTCTAGCCCGGTTTAAAAACAACGTATGTGCCATTATTTTCCCTATGCACATAAGTGTTTTTCCAGAAGAGCCAGAATTTATAGTTCCAAATTGCATAATGCAGTCCAACTCTGCCATGCTAGGTAAAAACGCCGCAGGAGTATTCGAATGTTGCCAAATTTCTCCCTCGAAAATATTCGGTTTCGAAAAAAGTTAGGAATATTTTCCCTTGAGATTTTCAGAATTTTTAGATCAAGCTACGAACGGTATCCCCTGAAAACTCACAGGAGATACATTTACAACTTTCCTTGAAAAGTCATGATTTGTCGAAGGAATTTTGAGAACGCCTGACGGCTCGTGCGGCGCTTTCACTCAGCACGAGAACTGGCTCGGAGTTAATTTTTGCTTACAGTTTCGGCGCCGGAGGCGAAACGGAGAGCATGCGATTAGTTTTTCATTAATTTTAACGAGAAATTAGCTGCGCATTGAAATTTCGCGGGACTCATTTTTCACGGCAAACATATCTTTCCCCTTTGAGCGCGTTTCGCTTCTTCACCTCTTCCCGTTTGAATTGAGCGCGCGTGGGTGGGGAGGGGGGAGAGTCATTAAGCCTCTGGGGCGAGTAGCAGAAGCAGGAAGATTTGCAGGGATGAGTGGCGTCTTCGACGAGGAGTGGGGGGGGNGGGGGTAGGGGGCGGAGTCGCCGTGATTAATAAGCGTCCCGAATCCGTGAAAGGCAGGCCAAGTAATTAGCCGGAGTGAATTAAACGACTTGCGGGCCGGAGCGGTGCCCGGGCGACAAATTCGTGTCGTTTATCAAGAAAGCCGGTTGCCGGGCATAATTCAGGAGTTAACCGGGCAGATAACACCGGTGCATCCGGGATTCCGGGTCCGATGCCCGGTGCATCCGGCCGTCGGCGCCGACTCCTTGCCCTCCGATCATCAGTCACCGGCCTCACGCCCCCTGGATGTGCGCATTCGGGAGGGTTAGTAGGTGGTGGCGAGTTAGGATTTTGAGGAATGCATCACACCAAAAAAAATTCTCGACGTTTTTACCAAGGTCCGTCGGTATCCTTACCATCTCATTATTTTTACGAATTATAGGTAATTTTACCAAGACAGACTGGTAAGCTTACCTAAAAACCGGTATTTTTACTGTTTTTTTTCAGGTAAGAATACCACTTTTATTGGTAATCAATTCCCGGTAACTTTGCCATTTTATCTCGGTAATTTTACCACAGTCGATAAAAAATATTGGCGTTTTTACCAAGGTCCAGTAAAATTACCGAGAAAGTTCAATAATTTTACTGAGATTCTCGGTAAAATTACCAATTCCATAATAAATGGTGATTTTACCAAGAAAAAACAGGGATCAAACAGAACCCTGACTTCTTGGTAATTTTACCCATTTCTTAGTAAATACACCGAGATTTTTTTTTCAATGCACTGGTGGAGATGAGAGCTCTTGCATGTGGAAGGGATTTGCGAGCACTGTATATTTCCCGAAGTACACTGGAAAAAAAACACATTAGATCTAGAGTCCAGACTCTTAAAAACATCGACAAGAAAAAATACTCTTGACTCAATCAGATTTGAGCTTAAATCAAGAACGAAGCCTCTTAATTTGAGCGGATTTCCTTTTGATTTAAGCTTAAATGTGATTGAATCAAGAATTCATTTTCTTGTCAATGTTTTCAAAAGTCTGGACTCAAGAGCCAATGTGTTTTTTTTTTCCAGTGTAATATGTCGCCAAAAACCGATGGTGCCGCTGGTTTTCGCTGAAACAAAATCTCCAGCTCAAAAAAAGCTGTCGAAGTTTTGACCGTAATAGGAGGGATCCCCCACGCTACGACGCTACGGGAGTGTTCACCCACTTATCTAGTAAAGCTCAACATGCCCATAGATTAAAAAGGGGGTGGTCGCATCTTGAAGATTACTCCTTGATGTAGGTCGGTACAAAATGGCGTCGATATTCCTGCAAAATCCGAAATTCAAAGTATGAAAACCAGACCGTAACGTCCGCTTTTTTGCTCATATAATTTCATCATATAATTTCATAATATAATTTCTAACACTCTACTTAGGATTTCCATGAACGACACCATTGCCAATAAAAGCGAAGGTAAAAATCACCCGTAGTGACCTACGCCACACATTGGTTCCACAGCCCGATCTAGGCGGCATCATCATCTTTGTTGGCATGCAATACATATTATAAGTTTTTTGGGTCGCTGATCACGAATCTGAAGTCAGTTTTACCCTTTCTTTAATTGAAACATGGTACATTTGCGGAATATGACAAATTCACGCTTAATACCGAATTGATGATTTAACAACTTGCGTCGGAGCTTGAACTGAACTATAATACTTTTGACAAAAATGATTGATCATCAAAAACGACCGATGACTTAACTATTTTTCTTTTTTGGGTGGTTATTTGAGGGGGGGGGGGGTTGCCACGTTGAATAACTGAGCGAAGTATATCCGCAATCGGCACGATCTGTCTCCGAAATTTTGAGGTATAAAAAATGGCAGGATGAAAATAAATTGAAAGCCGTCCTTATAACACAATTGAACAGGGGAAAAAGGCATTAAACTTTAGTGCCCGTTGTTTTTTAAATTAAAGAGGTTGTGCCTTGGATTAGTTCTAACTAGAAATGGCCGTTTGAAAGCCGGCGAAGGGCGGCAAAGTAGTTATTTTCAGCCATTTATACGGAAAAGTACGTGAAATTGGCATAAAATAGCGCCATGTCCAAAGGTTTATCTAAACTTGTAGACTTAATCTAATGATATGATTTTAACATTGTGAACCTTAAACTTACTTTCAATATCACGATTTCCTTTTCAGAACGGTGTTTCTTTGCCTAAAACGGCGACGCGCCTCACAAACACGCTTTTTCCGCAGGTCTC